TATATATATATATATTTTACTTTGTTTCTCTTTTAATTGGGCTTTGTAATTTTTCATGCGAGAAATTTTGGTCCCATAATTTTAATTTCCTAATTTGGATTTACATATTTAAAAAAGTGAATAATCTTAGTCTTATCATTGATTCACTATCCAATTTTTACGTATTTGGTAACTTGCACTTTCAATGATCAAATTTTATTAAATTGAACAATTTATGTCACATAAACATTTAACTTGATATTATTTGTTAATTTATTATTTTAAATTAGATTATTTAATATAAAATTATTTACTATTTATTAACATATATAATAAATTATTAAATAATTTAACTATAAAAACTAATAATGAATATCATATTAAAAATTAATGTGACATAAACTAAATAGTAAGTTTTTCTTTAAAAAAAAAGTGATTACATGGTAAGTTAGTAAAGAGACTAAAATTATCCGCTTTTTTAAATATATAAATCAAATTAAATAATTAAGACCATGAGAACCAAAATTACCTGCACATTAAATTAAAAATACAAAAATATAATTGAACTTAATTTTTCATTTCAAACATAGGCCTGCACAGGGTCATTCCGATAGATAAAAAAGAAACTTAGTTTTTAATTTCAAAGATAAGTGTAATTGCATCATCTAGTGGTCCCTACCAGTTCCTTGACGTAAACTGTGACTAGACCCATGACCCAGTGATTACGTTTGAACGTGTCAAACCCAATGATCAAATTAATATACGTACCCTCAATTTCTTTAACCATGTGTTTGGTAAAGAAAAAAAAATAAAAAATAGAGTGAAAAAAATAGATAAAAAAATAAAATTTTAATTATTTGATTGAAGAAAAATAGGTAGAAAATGTGTGAGAAATCATATATATATATATATATATATATATATAAGAAAGAGAAGAGAAAAATAAAAATAAATAAAAAATAAGATCTATCATCTTTTAATTTCTCTTCACTCTATTTCAAGCAGTTGAAGGTATGGAAGGGTGTAATAATAGATTAAATCCTTTGAGAGTTGTTAATGTACTTTATGTCAATTATATTATACCAATAATGCTAGTAACAATATTAATGAAAGTGATAACCATATTATTAATAGTGAAGTCGATAATAATATTATCTTATATATTAAGTTTAGGAAAATTCTACTGTACCTTTCTTAAAAAAGAGGTACTGGTACAGTTGAAATTTTAATTTCATCCTAAATTTTCTATTTTTAATAATTTATTTATATAATATTTTTATATATTTGAAATTATTTTAATATTTCTTTAGTATTTTATCCTTCCATTATCTTTCTAAATTATTTAGTCATTCTATTTTTTTTATTTTATATATTCTAATTTTTTTTGTAATAATATTACTATATACTTAATTAATTTAATTTTAATAATTTTTAGCATATATCATTTTTTTCCTTAAATTTTTTAATTTTTACAGTGTAGATTAATTCTATCATTTTTCACTTCTATTATTTGTTAATTCTTTTAATATATTTATAACATTATTATTACAATCTTATAATTTTAATTTTTATAATTTTATCTTACCTTTTATTATATAAATGTAATCTTGATTGCAATAATGAACGTTAATGATTGAAAGGAAACTCGAGTGCAATAAGACAATCATAGAATCTCAGTGACATAGACAAGTATAGTCACAGAGAAGCAAATAAGGAAACTCTACTGTAAGGCTATGAAAGGAAACATATATTTAAACTGAAGATCAAGTAATATATAACATGTTGAATGATCCATTTTGTAATATAACATTAAAAATTTCCCTAGAATGTAATGTATTTCATTTTAAGAGAGAGATTTTGTTGCCGAACTAGTAGCTAGCAGAAGAAAACATAGGTTTTGGTGGTACATTCAAAGAATTCATGTTGCCTTCCAACATATCTACCACTCTACCCCAGTGTCCCTCTAGTACCTGACATGAAATAATGCTTTCTTTCCTAGGACACAACTTTGTTAGTCTAAAATCTGATTGATATCTTGGGGGCAAAAATTCACATCCAAAAGAATATTATGTGGTTTTATGTGAAAATGTAAAATCTGAGTTTTGCATCCTATTAGAAAAACAATTCAAATTTTTAAATTTAAATTTTTAAAATATTATTTAGATTTTAAAAAATATTAATTCTTTTAAAATATTATTTAAAATTGAAATATATTATATTTATTTTAGAGATTTGTTTCTTTTTTAAAAATTGTGATGTAAGTTCAATAAATAGAGACTTTCTAACATGAATTAATTAAATAAATTATTCTTAACTTAAAAATATATGCCTCCCCTTAAAATCGTTAAAAATTAATTATAGACTTATTCTACATACGAGCATTATTTCATTTTGATGAAATTAAATTCAATTGTTATTTTTTTTAGCTCAATTATAGTGTAGCTTGCTCCTATATGTTTCTCTGACGTAGTAAAGAATAATTTTTACAACAATAAATAATGTTATATACAATGACATATAAAAAATATTATTATAAATATAATTAATATATATATATATATATATAAATTTATTTGATATATTATTACATATAATTTTAATATTAATTTTAAATAAGATTTAACAACATTTATTATATGTCATTATAATTTATATTCACATTTTTTAACAATATACCAACATATATTATATTTATAGTGTAAATAAAAAAATATAGTGATATATATATGTCATTGTAGGATTTATCTCCTTATATAATAATTTTCTTGTAATATTTACTAGTTCTATCGATAGGAAAACATTTATAAATTGATGCATTTTAATTAAACTTTACTAAATTATGATATTTCAAATTATGACAACTTATACGTGCCAAATAAATATAGTTCGTACTTTTTTAATGTAAAATTGACAAAGTGTCACTCAAGCTAATCCATTAACACATTTTATTTATTTTTGTTCTAGACAAGATTTTTAAGACAAAGCTGATAGAAATGTGTACCTAAATCAATTATAATATTTTTAAAAAATTATTTAATGTTTTTATTTTTTTAGAGGAGAATTTTAAAATATTAAGTTTTTAAGAATATTTCACATCCAATTAATTTTTTCTATAAATAATTTTTTTTATTATAATTGTAATTAAATTGTATAAATTAACTTTAATTGTTTGAAATATTTAATTATATTATAATTCTTATTTTGAATTTTTTTTATTAATAATATATTTTACATTTCACGTTGTATAAAATTCATAATTTTAACTAGATTAATAAATATATTGTATATATTGAAACGTATTAAAAATTTAAATAGATTAGCAGAACACGAATTATATAAACTCTCACCTACCTACCAATATACTGAGAAATATTTATAAGATCGTATATCCGTATTCAAACCGTATCCACATATATTTTTATTGAAAGCATACTCGTATCACGTACACGTACGGGAATGTATGCCAAATTATGCCTTAGTATGGACGTCTTCAATATCTTTTTAGAAAGTGACAGTTATACTAGCGCTAGTTATTCTACAAAAGTGCTTACTGTAGAATTCACCATTTCATCCAAAAAAAACTACTTATGCCTTGCCTTGGATCTATTCTTTGTGCGCTCAATCAAGTCTTCACACTAAAAGCTGCTAAATTTTACAAGAACTAACTATAGAACATAAAACGCATATATATAAAATATTAAGAAGGTTGTTAGAGCATAAACATTAAGGATACACATCTATGAATCCACCCATATTAAATGACATGGGAGCCAAGTCTAGGGTACACATGCAGTAACAATATCAAACCTTGATTCATATATAACAAAGAAATCACCAAGTCAAGGCAAGTATCACTAGAATATAATTATCCGTTTTACAAACTAAATTGGAAGAGATTGCAAAGAAATTTACTTCAAGAAAGAACTGGTTTTGGGGGAATTTCCAGGGAGATTTTGCCTTCCAACATATCTATTACTTCACTCATTGTAGGTCTATCTAGTGGAATAGTTTGAACACACCATAAACCCACTAAAGACATTCTTTTTGCTATCTCATTTTCTTCTGTGGTCAACACCTTATCAAGTTTCAAGACATTGCCCTCATCTAGCCTATTGTATATCCAATATGGGAAGTATAACTCACTTCCTCCGGCTTCGGGATCAATATTCTTCCTCCCTCCCACCATTTCTAGCAGCATCATTCCATAACTGTAAACATCAGATTTGTGTGAAACTCTACCAAGATGCCTATTACACACTTCTGGAGCTTTATACCCGGTTGTTCCTCTTTGGTCTGACATGTGAATAGTGCTCTCTTTCCTTGAACTAAGCTTTGCAAGGCCAAAATCTGATACCTTGGGGCAAAAGTTCTCATCCAAAAGAATGTTATGTGGTTTTATGTCAAAATGTAAAATTTGAGTGTTGCATCCCCTATGCAAATACTCTAGTCCTCGGGCTATCCCTATAGCAATTTGACACAAATTATCCCAGCTTAGTAATCGGCTATTTTCAAGTTCTTTATTGTAAATAAACTTGTCGAGGGAACCATTAGCCATAAATTCGTAAATGAGAGCTTTATTGCTGCCTTCAAAACAGAATCCAAGAAGTTGGACAACATTAACATGAGAAGTTCTACTAATACTAGAAACCTCGTTGATAAATCCTTTGTCATTTTGTTTGGATGCATTCAATATCTTAACAGCAACAGGGCAACCATTACTCTCTCCTTTGTATACAACACCAAAACTACCTTCACCCAATTTCTCTATGAAGGATTTGGTCATTTTCTTGATTTCTGAAAATTTATATCTTTGTAGAGTTGGGGCTCCATTTTCTTGTAGGGATGTTTCAGTATCAAGGTCACTCTTTGGTAATCGGTTATATTTAAAACCACAAATTATGGCGCACGTCAATAATGCTATTATCCCAATCACAATTGCTATACCTGTTATCAAATATAATAGGAGAATTAGGAGTAAGAAACAATAGATATCCTTTTATTTTTTTTTTTATTAGTTTAATGTAGACTTATTTAACGATTGATATGTTAAGATAAAAATTATAGTTGTTAATTCTCTATTGGTTGATTATAAAGGCTGACTTTCTATCTAAAAGATATTTTAGCTTATTTACAAAATATATACAGGTCTTTATTTTTGGATTCATTAACAAAAGCAGAAGACATAATCTAAGATATATCGCCTATCACATTGTTTTTATGTTGCAGATAGATTGAAATATGAAAGGATGATTGATCTATTACCTATATAGACTTTCCTCATCCGAAACTGCTGGTTACCTGCAACAATAAGTATAGTGAGAGCAAAGAGTTGTTATCATGACTTAGTCTTTTAGGAAGATTATTTAGAGTGGAACTAGGAAAGTACCCTATTCGATAGTAATCACTTAATGAAAGGGGATGACAAAAATGCATACATGATCACATTTAAGTTATCACATCCCATCCCACATTTCAGTTTCCTATACCATAAAATATTAGCAGAAATTAACAAAGTATTTGGTTGAAAAGGAACAGAGGAGAGGTAAGAGATTTTTTTAAAAAAATTGTTTTGTTGGAGGGAAATAGAGGGGAGGGGAGGAATTTTTTTAAATTTGTCTTATTTAGTTCAAATTTTAGGAAGAGAAGAGAGGAGAGGCAAAAAGGGGAGGGGAGCAAACTACTTCCTAACCCAATCTTAGTCCCCTTCCAATTGGGGCATATAAAGGTGGGAAAGACTTTAAAACATTTGTAATATGTCTAAAATATTTTTTCTTTTATTTTAAATTTAAAATTATAAAGATACAAAAGTAAATTGATTTTCAAATCCTTCTTATCTTGTGAACCAAGCAAGAAAACCAGACCTTCAAGAACTATATTAGAAAGATTCATTTTAACCACATAACATTTATGTAACGGCAAATCAACCTCCATTTTTGAGAAACCAGAGTGGATATGATGTAACTGTTTGACTTCTCGAAGTATATCCAATAACTTAATCTAATTTAAGAGAAAAAACAACAGATCTACATACTTGAAGCAAGATAAAACTGACCTGATACTAGTGTTGGTGTCTTTATTGGTATTATTAATGGTGACAAAGGACTAGGCGATAAAAATGTTGGTACTTGTGATGGTGATGGTGCTGGTGACAAAAATCCTGCATGGGGTGGCATTGTTGTTGATGTGTTATTGGAGTTGGTGGTAGTGCTGCTCTTGTTACAACTTTGGGCGTTATATCTATGATAACTACCGTTTTGATAACTACCGTTTTGATATCTCGATATGCAGCCTGTTTAATATTTTTTCATTCAAAATTATTAATACATAAGAGGTGAGATTTAAAGATTTAAACTAGCTGCTGAAGGAAGAAACATTAGTGGCATCAGCCAGTAGTACATAATGGCAAACGAAGGAGCAAAATCATAAACTACTCCAATAGTTATTAAATTAATAATTTACAAGTGTAAAAATAATTTTCATAAACTTGTGCATTGCAGTAAAGTGCTCAAATACTAGCACATAAATGTCAACAGTTATGATCCAAAAAAAATGTTAATTTTTAATATTAATATAGTGAATGTCAAAGAAAACGAAGTTATGATTTTGAAGGAGCTAATCTAAATTAGACGGAGGAATCCATACTGGTGACTGTAATAGTAGCGTTTTCTGCTACCACATAAGTCTCTGAAGAATCATTTTCACTTCCCAGTGACCGTTTGACCACGCTGCTGCTGCTGCAATCTGTTTACCAAATTGTCTTCGTTAATAATCGAATTTTATAAGAGAAAATGGTATGTGCACTTATATGGCATCCAATTAGAACTACGGACGGACTAATAATTGGAATTGAGATAGATCTACCTGAATTTAAGTTCAATAATTTTCGTCATCATAATATTTTCTATAAATAAAAATATGAAATCCGATTAAATTCAATCATTTAATTATGGTAGCGTGACTATTTTTGCTGATGATAAATCCTGCTGAAAATTTAGATGACCATATTCAAATGGAATTTCTTATTTTAATCATGATTTTATTTTTTTGCTATACTAATAAAGCAAACCAAACAACGTACTTTTCTTATCATGGCACGACATGGAGACAATATCGACATTAAGGTTGCCCTGAGCATTCTCATTTCCGAAAGGTTCATGTATCGAGTTACCTGCAATAAGTAAGCAGTAACCCTTCAATAACTAGATTTTAGGTATCTAAATCAAGGAAAAAATAAAATCTTAATTTAACAAAAAAACAAAAAAAAAACTGCATATGTGCAATTCCTGGTGATACATGGATCTGTATAAGTTAATGAAAAAAAAATGCTTAATTAGAAAGGAATATACGTACCCTCAAAATTGACATGACTGGTAGTGGTGGTTGGAAGAAGAAGAAGAAGCGCTGCAGTTAGAGAGAAGAGGAAGAAGAGAGGGAGAGTGCGAGACATGTAGGAGTTTGAATGCACATGAAAATGCTAAAATTTGAGGTACCTCATAAACTTAAAAAGGATGATTGATGGAGCATATAGCATAAGGTTGCTTGCAGCTGTAAGGGACACATTGACCGTTTACTCAGGTCAAGTCATCAAGCATGGTTGACACTTACCCCAAAGAGGAAGAGGGGCAAGAAAATAAAGTAAGAACAAACAAGTTTCCAGTTTATAAATAAAAAAAATACGTCAAAAATGCAAGTTATTTTCTTTGAGGAGAAATAGAGGATAAATAATGTGAAAATTAGTTTTTGAGAATTTTAAAAATATTATATATTATTATAAAAATCTAATTTGATTTCCAAATTTATTTTCACTCAAGTGCAAGTGATTTTGCACGTGTTTCTATTTTATTTTATGCTTTTTACATGTGTTTAAAGTATCTTATAAACTCTAGTGATCGATAGTATTTTCTAAAATATAACTTAACTTACAATGGTTCAACTCGAGTTCTCTCACTTTACAAAAATATATGTCCTCATATTTTAATTCTTTAATAATATTTTCTGTTTTATATTTATTAAAATATTATTATATATTGAATAAATAAGTTATTTTGTAATATATTTTTTTAACAATATTCTTATAGATAAAGTAACATTTTTAAATTTTAATATTATTCTTTTCAATTTTTTCAAAATCAAAGTTTCATATTGAGTAAAAAAATATTACATAGGTTATTTTGTAACAATTTTTTTAAAAAAATGTTGTTATAATTGCTTCTAAAATCAAAGTTTTACATCAAGTTAAAAAATATATATTTCTCTCATCTCTAATTGTTACCCATAATTAAGGTTCACATCGAATAAATAAATGACTCATCAAGAGTATATATAATCATATAATTATAATTAAGATAAATGAATTTTGATATTTGATATATAACTAGCTGTAACTAATTAAGAATATCTTTAATCTTCTCTTAAAAAATTCCAAGAAGTTTATGAGATATCATTAAATAGTTCATGTTATTAAAATTTTTTAATAACATTTTTATACAATTAGGTAACATTTTTTTTAAGTATTATCAAAGTAGTATATTTGTACCATTTTAATAATATTGTTAAGTTTTTGTTAACTTTATAAAATAATAATTAATTTTAATGTAGATATTATTAATAATTATTACATTTGATAATATGTTACTAAAATAAATTAATAACATTTATATACAGTTAAATAACATTTTTTAAATATTATTAAAACTTTTTTGTGTTGTAATGCCTCCATGCAAGGTGTCTGTGGCTAATTTTGTAGAAAAAGAAAAACATATGCCGCTCCTTTTCCTTGTCAAGGACGGATTGTGTTTAATAATGGATCTCAAATAAAGCATGATTTCCTTCCCTTCTCGTAGCCTTCATTCGGTAATGAAGAAACAACCAACAAATTTGAGTAAACGTTATTTTCATCTTAATTTTTTTTTGCTAATTTAATATTGTTTCTATTTGAATTTCTTTCATTTTTATATTTAAAATTATAAAACTTATGAAAATTAGCCCAAACATTAAAAACGCGAAAAACAACACATAATGTTGTATTGAAGAAATTTCAAATACTAATTTCATCCATGTTGAAATAAAAAGTCACAACGACAAAATAATTTTTTTTAGTAACATTAGCAAAATGTTACTAAATTATGAATTAATATTATTAATACACTTTTATGATATTTTATTAAATATAAGATAAAGTTTGTATTATTAAAGACTTTTAAACTATATTTTACATATTAATAGCAATATTTTTAAAAATAGTATCGAAGTGGTGTTTTATAACATTTTAACAATGTTACTAATTTTTATAGACTTTATACGATGATAATTAATATTAATATAGATTATACTATCACTTATACTTCTTCAAATTTATTAATTAAAATTGAAGATATCTTAAGTTCTATTTTTATAAGAGAAGATATCCTAATTAGTTATTATTAAATTTATATCACATATGAATGTTCATTTATCTTGGATTTCACATTATAATTATATATTTTCTTTATGTATCATTATTTTATTCTATGTGAAACTTTAATTTTGTGAAAGAATAAAATATTAGAAAAATATACTGTCATTCTTTATTAGTGTTTTTAATGCTTATAAAATGTATTAGGTTTCAGCCAACACAAGACTCAAGGAAAAAAAAACCTAATAGGAAAGTGTTTATGAACTTTTCTTGACAAAACTTTTAATATGACATAATAGAAACCTAACTCTAGGAAATTTGCTAGAACTAATAGCAAATTAAGAACTCAAACATGTAAAATAAAAGCACATATAGTAAGGTACAGATTTAATAAGCAAAGACACAAAGAATTTTGGACACAAACAACACAAAACAAAAATTAGATCAAACAAGCTAGTCTAGGAATTTTCAACATGTAAAAAGGACTACACATGACATTCTAAGACAAAACAAGTGATTCAAAAACAAAATCTATGCAATATGAATGTTGTCCAATCATGGACACATGTTATAGAATGGAGAGACTCAATCAAAAATTAAAATGCACAAGCACAAGAACACCTAGGCGCACCACACAAATTGATTCAAGAATAAGGGACAAACAACAATATGAATCAATTATTTCTCATGTGACAATTAGGATCCATCAATATATGAACAAAATTAGATCCATACAGCAAACATAAGAAGACATGTAATAGGAGGAAGATACAACACGGGTTCTATTAGAAAAAGTTAGAACAAAAAACCTCAAGAGCACTAGGCTCTAGATACCAAAAATGATGGAGTTGTGTTGAAGAGATTGATGTTCCTCCACTTTGCTCCATGCTTAGGACCGTAACTCTTGAGGTAGACCTTTGGTTGAAACTTGAAATCTCCTTGAAGAAGCCTTCAATGGAGGTGAAGCCTTAGAAGGAGGTTCGGTTACTTCTCATTGGATGTAGAAGCTTGATGAACCTAGGTTAAGGTTTGAAGAACCTTGGAGAATCCTTAGAGTAGAAATTCTCTACGGTTTCTATGAGTGACTCTTGAGAGAGAAATCAGAATTTTATTTCTCCAAATGTTCAAAAGTAAGTACAAGTGTAGGAAAATCAAATATATAGGGGAGGGTAGCTTGTAGGAGAAGTTATCCTTAACCATGGTTCACTAAGAACCATGGTAGGTTAACTTAAACTCCCACGGTTTAGCTAGCTTGTAGGAGAAGCTAATCCTTGACCATGGTTCACTTAAGAACCATGGTAAGGTAAGCTAACCTTGCTTGAGTTTAGAAGCTTGTAAGACAAACTTCAAACTCAAGAAGGAATGCTTGAGAAATTCGGCCAAAGGAGAAGGAATAAGCTAGGCGGCCCTTGGTTCAAATGCTCCGTGAATTAATTTTGAAAATCTTTGATTTGGTTTAGTTAGGTTCATCATTTGATGATGAAACCTAGCTAAATCAAATCTATGAAAAATTAGGAGCAAAATGAGTCCAATATGCAAAATTTTGCCTAGGCCCAACTCAGGCCCAATTTCTAAGCACACCCTCAAGCATTGCTAAATGTCACCCCCTTTTCCCTACTGAAAAAATACAAAATGAAAGTATCAACTAGGGAGGTTAAATGGAGTTAAACTCTCCAAGTA